TTAGATCAAATTCACATGGGATGTCGAAAAAGACAAGATCTTCTGAGTAAATTGTGAGCATTGGGACCTTACAGGAGGGTTGAAGGGGAGGGGAGAGGGAATGATGGGAGCATAGAAAAATGTAGAGCAAAATAAAAATCAATAAAAAAGAATGGATAATTATTCATTGTTATTTTTAATTTTTTCCTTATTTCTAATAGTTAAGTTGTCTTATTTTTAGTCTTATTGCTTTCATGTTTCAACTGAATAATATTAAATATTTATGAATCATTCATTGTTTAGGAAAAGAGCCTTTTTTGTTCCGAGGTATATAGTGCTCATGCCTACTGCGAGAACCATGCACTTAAAATACAATTTTTTTCATAATAAAATTGTAACCTTTCTATGTTAGGGCTTTCAAAATTAATGCCATACTTGAATCTCCAAAAGAAGGAAAGGAAAATGAAAAAGAAAAAACATAAAAATTCAAAATGTAAACAACATATTTACTCAAAAATTTGACCATTAAACTGAAACAAGGGCAATAGAAAATATCAGGTTTTGATCACAAGGTGTAAGTATTTAATCATTGGATCAACCAATCAAACAAAAATTCAAATAAATAAAAACAAACAAAAAAGAATAAAGAATTAAAAGTCTCTGGGGCAATTTAAATAGACCAAATCTAGAAATAATAGGTATAAAAAGGCAAAAAGAGACCGAAGTCAAAAGCAAAGAATATTTTTCAATAATACAGTAAAGGAAAGTTTCCCTATACTAAAGAAAGAAATGTCAATTGATGTCCAAGAGACATATAGAGCATCAAACTGTCATGATTAGAAATGTAAATCCCTGCATTGTATAATAACCATAACACTAAATGTACAAAACAAAGTATAATGAAATCAATAAGATAGAATAATAAAGTCACCCACAAGACAATTGTCTGTATACTGTCAATTATATTTTAAATAAATGATAATTGATCAGAAGCCAGGCAGGAAGTACAGGTGGGATAACCATACAGAAAGTAGAGGCAGGTCAAGGAGAACAGGAGAATTCTGGCAAGAAGGAAGCCCATTCCTCTGCAGTTATGACACCACCGCAGAAGAAGCAACCTCTGACAACAAATGGCACCCACCACTACTTCCACATAAATCTTGGGAGAGCTTGGAAGTAATTCTTGACAAAAAAGAATAGAGTTAAGCACAGCTATATTGAAGTAGCATTTTCTCTGATGGTCTCTGAAAAAAGCTGCACTGTTTTAAAATAATGGCTTTCTGAGCCATTCTGCCAGTGCAAACTTTGATTCTTTCAGGCAGGTCGGGCTACAGATCATTTGAGTGTGGTATGTGAGCAGTCTGCTGCAGTTTGCTTTGTGGCAGGGACCTTAAAATACCATAGGGTTTTGGCAATAAACATGGCTACAGCCAGTTCCTCAGCCATGAAGCTGGAATATCAAAAAGTTAAGAAATTGGCTGGATCCAGCAGTCAAAGCCATAGCTTTAATCCTCTTCATATTGCTTAACAAATTAAAGACTTGTGTGATCAGAAAAAGAGAGAGATACAGTAAAGATAGATCCAAAGACCAAAAAAAAAAAAATCTAAATGGTTTACAGTGTGTTAAAAATATATGCAGGCTAGGAAGAGAAAAGAAAAAGGTTAAAGTCCTTAAAAAAGAGAGAGTAGTTGGATATGGTGGCACAAACCTTTAATCCCAACACTTGGTAATCACAGGCAGGCAGACCTCTGTTAGTTCAAGGTGTGGTGGCATATACCTTTAAACCTAGCACTTGGGAGGCAGAGACAGGTAGATCTCTGTTAGTTTAAGGACTGCCTTGTCTTCAGAGGGAGTTCCAGGATAGTCGAGAATGCACATTGAACCTGTCTCAAAAAGCCAAAAGTTAAAAGTAAAAATTAAAGAAATAGAGGTTAAAATAAAGCCACATAAAGATAAAAAATATACAGATAGTCTGGATACTGAATGCTATTATGTTCTCTTTGAGTTGTTTGAATGCTGAAGAAGGAGCAACAGCTGCTAAAAGATGTTTGTTTATAAATGCTGCTGAATTAATCCAAGATAGGTATTTTGAAAATACCTTTGAAAATACCTTACTTCAAAATTGAAGTCGAAAGATATGTTACTTTGGAGAAGAGGTTTTTATTTTGTTTCCACAGGAAATGAGAGGGTGTGGATTTACTCTGAGTTAAGAGAAATCATTCATTAAGAAAATAACTTATAGCAAAGGCTACCAGATATTTGTGATATGGGTGAAAATAATTCACTGCAGGTAGGACTGAAAAATGGTACAGTACTTACAGAAATCAGTGTGAAAAATACTCCCAAAGCTAAATGTACAACTATTATATGATCCAGGATATGACTACTAGGTATATACCGAAAAGACTCCAGGATGTCCTACTCTAGAGATACCCAATTGTTTGTAGTCATTGCTGCTTTATTCACAATGGCAAGAAAATGTAAACAGCCTAGATGATTACCAACTAATAAATGGATGAAATTATGACAGATTTTTCAAAACAGGATGATACTTAAATATTACAAAAAATTAGATAACATTTACATGTAAATGGATGGACGTGAAAACATTCATTATGAATGAGTTACCACAAAACCAGAAAGAAAAGGCAACATCATTCCTCTCATCTGTGGATGTTGGCTTTGAATCTCTGGGTATGTATGATCAGGAAAAAAATTAGTAAAAGTCTGTAAGGAATGAAATCCAAGTAAGGGGAGGCAAAATACACTAACAAAGGATTAAATTACAGGGAAATGAATGGGACAGGAAGAGTTAAATTAAGTTGTTAGAGAGGAGGGCAGGTTAGGTAAATGAGACTAGGGAGAGGTAAAAAGCTCAAAAGACTTTGAAAAGGCCTAATGGGAACTTCCTATTTTAGAAGATCACTAAATTGTAAACATATAAATGCATTTATAAGACGTTAAATTGAGTTACCCTACAATGAGAGGACAATGACTCTCTTAGAAACATTATACTATCAAATGTAAAATGCAGCAAAAGGAACAGTTTAATTCTTTTTGGTTGTTGGTCAGTGAAGTGCTACATAATCTTTAACATAACTGATTATTGCCATTGCATCTGTTTACCCTTAGGAAATGGTGCTGAGACTGACACATGAAGGTCATAGAACATGAAGAAATTAAGCTGATAAAATTCATCCCTATTTCCTAACTTCCAGAGTGCTTGAAGGTGCTAAACAAGGTTCAGGAGGTAGAATGCAGTCTTTTATAATACTTTATTCTGAAAAGATTCATAGCTGCAATAACTGTCCTGATAAAATATGTTCACTGGTTATCAGTTGCAGGACCATCACTGGAGCAACCAACTATACATTTTATAAGGTTAAAAATCTGTCTCACAAGATGAAACCCATACCTGGTATCATTTTTGGCCAAGAACTTAAAAAGTTTATAGGCCATAGTGGAAAAATACTGATAAAACTTGTTTAAAAGGATATATTGCTAAAACACCAATTAATGATTTGATGTTTTACCCATAGATCAATGCATCTCTCTTTTTTTAAATATTTATTTATTTATTATGTATACAATATTCTGTCTGTGTGTATGCCTGCAGGCCAGAAGAGGGCACCAGACCTCATTACAGATGGTTGTGAGCCACCATGTGGTTGCTGGGAATTGAACTCAGGACCTTTGGAAGAGCAGGCAATGCTCTTAACCTCTGAGCCATCTCTCCAGCCCCGATCAATGCATCTCTTAACTCCAATCTAAGGATCTTCTTTTTGAAGAATATTCTGATTAGCATGAAGACCCACAGCTGACCAATGTGCATTAAAGAGACTGAAGAATGCTAAGCCCTCAGTTGAATTACACCACACTTTTTCAAGACTCAAGCATTATTGTGAATGAAAGAGGTAAAAATTATGAGATACAATTTGATGTATGAATATAATGTAACATGATTCTTGGGACCCAGCAGGGCAGCTTTACACCTGAACTCACATAATTTGTAACAGCATGCACAAAACATTAAAAATCTAAAGCCAGACTAAATGTCTCTCTTTATATATAGGCAATTGTAAACTGTTGGAAGAAGAAGAAATTTTCACTAAGAGTGTAAGCTGAAAAATCTCCATAAAAGTACACATATTGAGAAATATTTGGGCAGCACAAATTGGTATTGAAGAATTTTAAAGATTGGTTACAAACTTGGGTGTGTACAGATGGATGGCATGGATGATGCACAGATTAAATATGATTAAAATTTACCTCATAAAATACTTGAAGCTTTTTTAAAAACAGGAAAAAGTAAAGACAGTTGATTTTGAGCCTGAACACAATTTAGTAATCAGTCTTTTTCCATGGTTTCTGCTCTAGATTTCTGTCTCTTGAGTTCCTTACATTAATTCCTTAAGTGACTATTACCCCAAAGCATAATCTGACATAGAACCTGTTGTAGCCAGAAAAACTTTTAAGTCTGGTGTTTACAGCAGAACAGAAAAATCAAACTGAAATAAAGCTCAAGTAAAAATTTGATATTCATATTTTCCATGGAAACAGAATAATAAAGAAAATATAAAATGGGAATGATATAATGATCAGACATATTTAAAGTGGTTCTTAAATACTGAATATATGACCAATATTTTAATATGACAGATGACTTGAATTTACAGTGTCAATGACTGCTAACAACATACTTAGAGCACAAACAATGAGCTAGACTTTAAGTTAGGAAAGAATCACCCAAGAATATAAATTTTTAAAAGTCAAAATAAAAAGGAGAATAGAGAAAACAGGACAAAATAGATAAACTGATTATCAAAATGAAGTTAATATTTTTTTAAGTAGAGAGAGCTTATTTATTTTAAAAAACTATATTAGGAACAAATTCCTTGCAATTAATTATAACTCAGTTCATACATTTTCATACCAGAATATGTGTACAAATTAAATATGCCAAGGACAGAGTAAATCCTCTATACATGCTTAAAAAGGAGCAATGAGAAAAGGGACTTACCAAAGTAGTCTCAGATGTTACTGATGTCTTGTTTCCATTAAAGTAAGCCAAACAAACTTAAATTTTAGAGAAGGTTTCACTTCACAAAGAAAAAGAAAATCATGTTATTCATAATCTAGTTCTATGATGGGACATAAATAGGATTTTATTGTTTAACACAAAGTGAAGAGAATTTTTTTCATAACTGTATATAAATTATTCTGAGATTAGCAAAATAAGAAAAATTGGTTTTACAAAGCAAATATAGAATGAAAAGCACACAAAGTAGAACTACAAAAAGTTTCTTATCATTACAGTGGAGAAAAAGATAGAAGTTATTTAGAAGAAATTATTAATTACCTCAAATTTTTAATATCATAGAACTTTTAAGTCACAAAAATGTTATTTTCTAATAAAAATTATTAGAAATCTCTATAACATGTAGCATGAAAGGATAAAGTATCAGACCAGCCTAAACTAGTCCTTACTGAGGAAGAAAGGTTACCATGGAAACAGAATCCTAAATCATCACTGAGGTCACAGTGCTTTAGCTAACCAAGATGGCTACTTCTTCTGCATACAAGGATCACAAAGTCTAGTGCATAGATATTAAAAAGAAAAACTGATATAAATTTAAAGATGAAGTTATATATCAAAAATAAGATTATTAAAATATAAAACATATTATGACGAAAGGGCTTACAAAAAAACCATTTGTAAAAGACATAGAAAATTTTGCCAATATAATTGCAATGGAAAAAGTAAGATTCAAGAAGGTATAAATGATATTCTTCAAGCCTACAGGAATACTAATAAAAGAATAACAAATTTCTACTAAACTTTCTAAAATATGTTAATAAAGCTAAAACTGGATCCCTAACTACTTGAAGCTTCAAGGATGTTGGAAGCCTGTGGTGATATGAAATGTCCTTCTGCATATGTTTTCCTTTTATCAGTTGATGAATAAAGCTATTTTAGTTAAGGCCTTAGCAGGGTGAAGTCAGGAAGGAAAGAAAGGGAGAGTAGGTAGAGTCAGGGAGACACCTTGCAACTGATAAAATAGACAGATACCAAAATCTCCAGGTAAGCCACAGTCTCATAATAATATACAGATTAATTGAAATGGGTTAATTAATGATACAAAAGCTATCTGAGAACATGCCTAAGGTATTGGCCAAACAGTGCTGTAATTAATATAGTTTCTCTGTGATTATTCTAGTCTGGGTGGCCAAGAATGAATGAACAGTCTCTGGAGTAGGAGGCTGTTCTGTATTTGTGTTGCTTTCATTGGTTGAGTAAAGAAGCTGCCTTGACCTTTTGATAGGGAAGTCCTTAGGAGGGTGGAGTATACAGAACAGAATTCTGGGAGGAAGAAAGCAGAGTCAGAGAGAGCTTCCATGAAGCTGTCAGGTCAGACATGCTGAATCTTTCCCAGTAAGCAACGACCTCATGGTTCTACACAGATTATTAAAAATGGGTTGAATCAAGATTTAAGAATTAGCCAAGAAGAGGCTAGATATCATGGGCCAGGCAGGGATTAAATGAATACTGTTTCTATGTAATTATTTCTGGTGCAATCTAGCCAGGTGAGATGGAACAAGGGCCCCACGCTCTTACTACTACAAGTCTTCATTTATATAATGGCAATGACCATCTTAGCAATGGATCAACATAAGACCTAATAAAAAGCTTTAAAAATGGGCTTCTAGACCAACAACAACTAGAGTCAATTGAAGCTTCTTTTTTTTTTTAGATTTATTTTTTTTTGAAAGTAATTTTATTAAATTATAAAAAGTTTCCATTTACGCCCCTCCTCCCAACGCCCTCCCACTCCCCCCCTCCCTCTTCTCCTCCCTCTTTGTCCCCAAGGGCAGTCAGGGTCTCCTGCCCTGTGGGAAGTCCAAGTTCCTCCCCCCCTCCCTCCAGGTCCAGGAAGGTGAGCATCCAAACAGACTGGATCCCAAAAATCCAGTATATGCAGAGGAAACCAGTCCCAGTGTCATTGTCAATGGCTTCTCGGAAAGACTGCAGGCCAGCCACATTCAGAAAATCCGGCCACATTCAGAGAATCTGGTTGGATCACATGCTCGTTCAGTCACGGTCCATCTGGCCTTGGTAAACTCTCATTAGATCCGACCCCTTGAATCAGTGGGTGATAGTATCCCTCGCAGTCCTTCGTCATTTTCTTCCTCCTTCTGCTCCTCATTTGGATCTTGGAGGGGCTCAGTTCGGTGCTGCAACACGGGCCTCCATCTGTATCGCCATCCAATGCCAGATGAAGGATCTATGGTGATAAGCAAAATATTCATCATTATGGTCACGGGCCTAGGCCGGTTCAGGCACCCCCTCCTCTGTCCAGAGAACAATCTGGGGATCTCTCCTTGGACCTGGGATGCCATATATAATCAAGTTTCCTGTAAACTCTAATATGACTCCCTTAGTTGAAATATATTCTTCCCTGATCCCACATTCATCCTTCCTCCCTTCCCCCCATCCCGGTCAACCGAGCTTTCTCCATTCCTCCCCTACTCCCTTCTCTCTAACCCTCTCCCCTTCCAACAACCCTCCCACCCCCCCCCATGCACCCAAGGTTACCTGGGACTCTTGACTATTTCCTACCTCCTGGTGGATAGCTAAATAATCTTCATCAGGTTCGTCTTCTTATTTAGCTTCTCTAGGATCACGAATAATAGGCTCAAAGACCTTTAATTATGGTTAGAATCCACTTATGAGTGAATACATACCGTGTTCCTCTTTTTAGGTCTGGCTTACCTCACTCAGTAAAGCGTTTTCTATGTCCATCCATTTGCATGCAAAATTCAAGATGTCATTATTTTTTACCGCTGAGTAAAACTCTAATGTGTATATGTTCCACACCTTCTTTAACCATTCTTCTATTGAGGGGCACCTAGGCTGTTTCCAGGTTCTGGCCATTACAAATAGTGCTGCTATGAACATAGTTGAACAAACGCTTTTGTAGTATGTTTGGGCATCTCTAGGGTATATTCCCAAGAGAGGAATTGCTGGGTCCTGAGGGAGGTTGACTCCCAGTTTCCTGAGAAACTGCCACACTGATTTCCAAAGTGGCTGCACAAGTTTGCATTCCCACCAACAATGGATGAGTGTTCCCCTCATTCCACATCCTCTCCAGCATAGGCTATCATTGGTGTTTTTAACTTTAGCTATTCTGACAGGTGTAAGATGGTATCTCAAAGTGGTTTTGATTTGCATTTCCCTGATCGCTAAGGAGGTTGAGCATGACCTTAAGTGTCTTCTGGCCATTCGAAGTTCATCTGTTGTGAATTCTCTGTTCAGATCAGTACCCCATTTTATAATTGGGTTAATTAGAGTTTTAGTGTCTAGTTTCTTTAGTTCTTTGTATATTCTGGAGATCAGACCTTTGTCTGATGAGGGGTTGGTGAAGATCTTCTCCCAGTCAAAAGGCAGCCTTTTTGTCTTACTGACAGTGTCCTTTGCTTTACAGAAGCTTCTCAGTTTCAGCAGGTCCCATTTATTCATTGTTTCTCTTATTGTCTGTGCTACTGGGGTACTACTTAGGAAGTGGACTCCTGTGCCTATATCTTGTAGACTACTTCCCACTTTCTCTTCTATCAGGTTCAAAGTGGACAGATTGATGTTGATGTCTTTAATCCATTTGGACTTGAGTTTTGTGCATGGTGATAGATATGGATCTATTTTCATTCTTCTACAGGTTGACATCCAGTTATGCCAGCACCATTTGTTAAAGAGGCTTTCCTTCTTCCATTGTATACCTTTAGCTCCCTTGTCAAAAATTAGGTGTTCATAGGTTTGAGGGTTAGTATCTGGGTCTTCTATTCGATTCCATAGGTCGACTTCTCTGTTCTTATGCCAATACCAAGCTGTTTTCAATACTGTAGCTCTGTAATAGAGTTTGAAGTCAGGGATAGTAATGCCCCCAGAAGTTCCTTTATTGTATAAGATTGTTTTGGCTATCCTGGGTTTTTTGTTGTTCTCTCAAGGTCTGTGAAGAAGTTTGATGGGATTTTGATGGGGATTGCATTGAATCTATAGATTGCTTTTGGTAGAATTGCCATTTTTACTATGTTGATTCTCCCAATCCAAGAGCAGGGGAGGTCTTTCCATTTTCTGGTATCCTCCTCAATTTCTCTTTTCAAAGGCTTAAAGTTCTTGTCAAATAGGTCTTTCACATCCTTGGTTAGAGTAACCCCAACATATTTTATGGTGCTTGTGGCTATCGTGAAAGGTGATGTTTCTCTGATTTCCCTCTCCATTTCTTTATCCTTTGTGTATAGGAGTGCCACTGATTTTTTGGAGTTGATCTTGTATCCTGCCACGTTACTAAAGGTGTTTATCAACTGTAGGAGTTCTTTGGTAGAGTTTTTGGGGTCGCTTATGTACACTATCATATCGTCAGCAAATAACGAAACTTTAACTTCATCCTTTCCAATTCGAATCCCCTTGATCCCCTTATGTTGTCTTATTGCTATTGCTAGAACTTCAAGCACTATATTGAAGAGGTATGGAGAGAGTGGACAGCCTTGTCGTGTTCCTGATTTTAGTGGAAAGGCTTTGAGTTTCTCTCCATTCAATTTGATGTTAGCTGTCGGCTTGCTGTATATTGCTTTTATTATATTTAGGTATGATCCTTGTATCCCCAGTCTCTCCAACACCTTTATCATAAATGGGTGTTGAATTTTGTCAAACGCTTTTTCAGCATCCAATGAAATGATCATATGATTTTTTTCTTTCAGTTTATTTATATGATGGATTACATTGATAGATTTGCGTATGTTGAACCATCCCTGCATCTCTGGGATGAAGCCTACTTGATCATAATGGATGATTTTTCTAATGTGTTCTTGGATTCGGTTTGCCAGTATTTTATTGAGAATTTTTGCATCGATGTTCATGAGTGAGATTAGCCTGTAATTCTCTTTCTTGGTTGTGTCTTTGTGTGGTTTTGGTATTAGGGTGACTGTAGCTTCATAAAAGGAGTTTGGCAGAGACTTTTCTTTTTCTATATTGTGGAATACATTAAGGAGTATAGGTATTAGCTCTTCCTGGAAGTTCTGGTAGAATTCTGCATTGAAACCATCTGGTCCTGGGCTTTTTTTGGTAGGGAGATTTTTCATAACAGCTTCTAGTTCTTCACGACTAACAGGTCTATTTAGATTGTTCACCTGGTCTTGGTTCAACTTTGGTATAGGGTACTTATCTAAAAAAATGTCCATTTCTTTTACATTTTCCAACTTTGTGGCATATAAACTTTCGTAGTAAGATCTAATGATTCTCTGAATTTCCTCTGTGTCTATGGTTATGTCCCCCTTTTCATTCCTGATCCTATTAATTTGCAAGTTCTCTCTCTGCCGTTTGATTAGTTTGGATAGGGGTTTGTCAATCTTGTTGATTTTCTCCAAGAACCAGCTTTTTGCTTCATTGATTCTTTGAATTGTTTTCTGTGTTTCTATTT